TAGATTTGCTTCTGATTGCTTGTGAGTAATCCTATGACTAATTTTTTGAAATCCATTTCTGGCATTTCCTCAATCTCTTCACCTTCACATTCTAATACTTAAATGTTGCTGTGTTCCCTTAGGGGTGGAGAGGTCACGGTGTCTTTCTTATTCTTGTTTCTTGAATTTATGTATCTGATTTTAGGCATTTGTGGAGTTTATTTTTTTTCCTGTGATGGGATTTGTCTTTGAGCTATGCCTCTGTTGCTTCATGAATGTCTGCACTCTTCTTGAATACCAACAGGTGTGTTGTAGGTGTGGCCATGTAGCTCTGGTCAGTGCTCCGGGGTGGGGTGATTATCCAGGGTAACACCCAAGTTGGGCGTGATTGATCTCAATGCCCAGATGTCAGCCCCCAGTGTGTTCCATGCCACCTTGTAAACTCCACTAATTATCTGCAGTCTTCACTGTGAGCGCAGTTACTGCTGCAATGACCAGCTGTAGGCAACAAAGGAGCTCCAAGCATGTGGAGTTGCACCTGATGATTTCCCAGAGACCCTGCTACACCCTACACCTTCTAATGTAACCACCGAGTCCTCACGGTCTCAGCACACAAGTCTCCCAGTCGCTAGGTGTACAGGTTTCTCTCTGCCCTGTCCAATAGATAGAGAGGCAGATGTTCCCCAAGACATCTCTGCATAGGTGTCTTGCTTCTGGGAGACTGCAGGTGCCTCACCTTCCCACATGGTTGCCCAGCTACCTTCCAGCCAGGTTCAAAGTCAGTGGGGACTACGGATTGTTCCCTCAGAATCACTGGATCACACGCGTACACAAGAGCCACTGGCCGTATGTTGCTGTCTCAACACCACTATCGCCAGTATTGCTGAGAAGATGGCATCCTGTCTCAGCCAGTTGTTGCGTGCGTGCAGTCTTCCGCAGCTCCCGCCCAAATCCTAACTGGTACCTGTCCATTCTCAGCTGGGCTGTGGGCACTTTTGTTGGGAAGTTGGGGCAAGGTAAATGTACCCCTTCTGCTTCCACTGGATATGCGGGCAACTGCTCGCAACCACCAGCCCCCAGAGCTCCAGTCCGTACTCATGCCATGCTCTCCCGCTCACTGTATCTCCGTGGGTTGCTGCAGTCTGATCTCGCCTCCATCTCCAAGCTGCCTCCCACTCTGGCTCTCAGCTGCTGTAGTTGTGCTTATGATTGTATTTGTGCTGTGTTGTGCATGCATCCACACCTTCCACACACATCCACAGCATTCTTGCTCTTGTAGGATTTCCGGTGCAGTTTTCTTTCCAATTCTCCTGAGAGTGCACTTCCTACACTTTTTTTTTTTTTAACTGTTCATCCCTAGCCCAGAGTACCATGTTACTCCCTAATCAACCATCTTGGAATCTGAGACCAGATACTGAAAGATAAGCTATGGGGACATAATGAAATACCATCACTGTATCCTCGACCATCAGTGCTTGCTACCTGATTTCATTTAGTCTATTCAAAAAAGATGGTTTTAAATGTTGTACATTGAGACTCTGATTTGAATCTTTGAAAACATGTGATTATAAATTTAAGAAAACTTTGTAAAACCATCAATACTTTTTCTGTAGCTATTTACATATTAATTGTAAGTCCTTCTCAATATTGTATAAATTCATGGAATTTAACTATTTTGCACTTTACTAACTTGCAATTTTAGTGGACACCTATATTAGTGTGTAGATAAACAATTATTCATAGCAACATTGTAAAAGTGCTGTAACTTAAGAGTCCTGCTTTTAAACAGAATCAGGAGTTGTATAATGCAGGTAAATTTTGAGAGCATAAATTTGATTATAAATACCAATAGTAAGATTGTTAGATAATCAACGATTTGATATCATAGTAGCTTAAGTACCTTAAAGTTTTCCATCTTGAGTCTATTAGACTAAAAGTCTCTATTTAAATTCAGTTTTATGGAAGATCTTAAGGCTTAGAAAGTTGAACAGCAGGCTTCCTTTTAATAGTTAACTTAGATCTACAGAGAAATTTGGAAAGAATATGGTATCAAGCTCTCTACTAGCACTCTCTTAAGCACCGGAAAAATCATTACCTTTCCCAGTTCTTTCAATTTCTGTCAAAAGAAGTACAGAGCAGCAGCACTATATATTTTGGTAATTAATTTCCTTAAGATAATGTTAGAAACATCAGGTTCTCTAAAATATAAATGAATTTCAAGGTGAGCATGCTAGGGGATAATATTAATGGCACATGATTTACTGCGACAAGAGATCTGATCTGAAATACCATTATTAGACACACTTAAAATAATCCATTTGCAAATTCCTGGAAATATGAATGTGTGCTATGGCAGAGACCATCTCAGTGTTGAAATTAGAAAATCTGCCCTTGTATGTCTGGTATTGTTTGCGTACAATATGTCTTCCTCAAATAAATTTATCAGAAAAATTTCAAGTCCTGAATATGATGTATTATATTTTAGGAAATTACCTAAATTCTTGGAACAAAGACACTCTACAAAAATATAGATTGAAATGTACACGAGTAATTCACTTGGTAGCTATGGAATTCCAGGGCTATAATCCTAAGCAAATAGTTGGCCAACAATCCATTGAGCATCTACCAGACACTCATCATGCTTTGAAGTTACAACGGAAACGTGACCTTGGGACATTCTAGATGACATTTTTATGCTATTTTTGTTTCAGGTGAAGTATTCCCTGTAAGCTGTTTATAAGCAAGATGCTTTCATGCCTCACATAACACTAAGATGTTTCAGTGACATGTAGTGTTACATCTCAAAAAATACTGGGAGACACAAACACATTATTTTAAATAGCATCTAATCATACAAGGATGGTGAGGAATATCATCAATCAGTAGCGCTATTGATAATAAAAAAATTAAGTAGATATTTGAGAACAATGTTTTTGCAATTAAGAAGAATTAAAAGTATTCTGTATAAAGGAGCACATCCATTAGCCTCTGACACTCAAGGAAAAATCATAAATGTTGGCAGTCTTAGAGACAGGTTGTCAAATTTGATTACTACTCACATATTAATATATGTGAGTGCTTCTCTCTTCCTCCCTACCCCACCCCCTCATCTCTCACTCTCACTTTCTGTCACTAGCCCTCTCCCTTCCCAACTGAGCCTGGGGCAGTGATGCTTTAGAGACTGATCAGCTTTCACTCCCTGTGTATTTCTGAAGCCTTTTAATGGGATTTTACACTGTGCAACTACAAAGGGGAACATTGCACACTGCATTTTCCAGACAACTTTATTTTTGCTTGAAACCTGTTTTAATCTATGAGTATAAACTCAAGAGTGCTTCATAGAATGACATTTGGGAATGCATAGGCTGTTTTATCTCAGACAGGTTCAATCCTTATGGATTCATATACACTAATAGCTACATATTTGTCTGTAGAATATTCAAGAATTGCAGATGCTGAAAACTATAAAGTGAATATAGTTGCATTGTTACATCAATTTATTTTTGTATATTTCACAAAAACTATCTTATAAAATAAAAATGCCTCCTTGTTCCACATATAGTGAAAATTTATGTACCAACATTTCATTAGATTTTATTTGATTTAAGTTTGAAACACATCTGGAGCAAAATTCAAATAGTATGGAGAAGTACACACACACACACAACACACACAGTTTCAGTTCTCAGCACAACCACTTGGTTCCTTTATCCAGAAGCAAACAGAGTTACACAATTTTGTGAATTCTTGTAAAGATATTTGGTGCACACATAAATATCCAAAATGTACTTTTCTGTTTACTTTCAGTAAGTTATGCCTTTCTGAACTATGAGAGAATAAAGTCAACCATAAGGTCACAATTCATGGTCTGTAGCAACATCTAAGATACATAATAGAAATAAACATTTATTTGTTTCATGAAACATTTAAATAGGTAGGCATAATGCAAAACTAGATAAGACTTCAGTAACCATTAAACTATTTATTGTGATACATATAGTGATATAATAATAAAAATAAAAATTATTTATTCTTGTATAATGTAGTATATTCAAATTTATAAAATCAAGTTTATAAAATCTTAAACAATTCTGAAAAACAGCTTCTAACAGCATTTACTTATTATTAGCCCACAAAAAGGAAAATTATGCCAATATACGAGCATATGACAAAGCTGAAGTGAACATGAACAGTTATTTAATAAATGGTAAAGTTAGCAAATACAGAATGCACAGAGTATGTGCCTTTGGATATTAATATGTAAAATCACTTAACTACCTATATAGAAATGCTGATCATGATTGTATAGCTTCATAAAATGAGTAAAGTGGAACGGAGTATACTTGAAGCAAAAGACAAACAACTTCTTTCATGTTTTTCCAGGAGAGAGATGAGGTGAGTCACCTATCCTAGAAACAGGAAAACCACAGAACCAGAGTTTTCCTGATTTCTTTCAGCAACTTCAAAGATCAATGCCCACATTTTGGAGAGAAAAATGTTTGCCTATTGCTATTATGGGAAAAGTAATTTTGTCTGTCAAGGCTGTTCTCCTTGAGGAAACAGTGCTTAAAAGTAGTTTATCTTGGCATTGCCATTTCTGCGTTCTAGTCTACATTTAATTGAGGCCACTGAGGGACTGAGAGCCCACAGAGTAGAGGACGTATATGATACCTCTGTAACACACGATCACTCAGCCTTATCACACTGTTACAGATGATTGCTGTCTACAAACTATGCCATGTGAAGACATCTGATATGCATTATTAAGGCATTGTTTTCACCTAATATATCAAATCCTTTTGTTTACAGCACATGAGAATGGAATAGAGATGACCACATTATGTTCCCCATTAGAGTCCCAATGAAACCTAAGGAAAGAAAGGTCCTTTACACCTTTTCTCTGAATATTTACAAACATACCAAGCCTAGTTCAGCTATTATAATGTCCCATGCAGTGACTTTCTCATGACAGCATTCATCAACAGCCACCATAATTAAAATTTAATCATCGGTTGCCTTACCTACTGTTGAACTTCTCTGGGTGTTTTTCTCTCATGATGTGAAATCTATGTGCAATGGAGGCATCCTGAGGCAAGAAAACAGAAAACAAAATGGGAGAGTTTGTGATTCTGGTATCTTGTAGAAACACAGACTCCAAGAAAAAAAAGAAATGTTTGAAAATTAACCTTTTCTTCATATTTATTTATTTGAAAGGCAAAGTATCAGAGAGAGATAGGGAAAGAGAGAGAGAGAGAGAGAGAGAGAGAGAGAGAGAGAGAGACATCGAGACATCTTCCACCACTGTTCACTCGTCAAATGGCCACTAAGCCAAAGTTGGGGGCTAACCAAAAGCCAGGAATTCCATCCTGTTCTACCACAAAGCACTCGAGCCTTCTTCCATTGCCATCACAGGCACAACAGTAAGCAGCTGTACTGGATGCCAAGCAGCTTGGACTATAGCTAACATTCCAATGTTAGCTAACATTCCAATGTGGAATGTCAGCACTGCAAGTGGTTGCCTAACCATCTGTACCACAACACTGACCCCTTCACAATATGATTGTCAAGGAGATGTTATGAAATTAGGTAAAAATATGTACTCCAATACATTCTGTGCAAGCATGATTTATGTAATAATTTCACAGTTGGTTGTCGTATTTACACATGGGAATTGATTTCTGTATAGTTTACACCTCTCCTTTAATAACCAGTTGTGGTTCCATGTTCAACATATTCAAGGTAGCACATATGAAGACAAATAACACATGCTAATTGAAAATATTGTTAAAGATGAGTTATAAGGTCGACCTCAGTGGAGAAATGATCAAATAGAGCAGTTCCTACTCCCTTGAGATTGATTATGGGTAAAAAGATAGTGTTGGTGCTTACACAGTGAAGGTAAGTGCAATTCTTGACTTCAAATTTGCTTGGTGTGTCTTAGATTTGTAATTAATAAGTGCTCATATCAGAAGCAGTTTTCTGACATAGCTTGCTTAATAGAGAAAAACAACAGAGAAAAATTTATTTTTGGCAAATTGATGACAAACATAATTTGGCTCGGAGATATCCAAATATACCAATTCTGAACCTTATGGGAAGTTTCCTACTTTTGAGGAATACATTCAGATTTTTTCTACAAGACAGAAATTATATTCAATGTCTGAGATTGGTGAAACATTGTGATTGCAGCTTTTCAAGAAAAGACTGCTCTGACACTGAACAGTTAACCCAATTCCAAGCAAGGAGATATTTCCGTGTTCTTCAATCACACATGATTAATCACTCAAATGAGAAACTAATATATTTACTAGTTATCTCAATAGAAAAGGGCTATTGTTTTGATCAACTGTTAATTTTGTTTCATAGTGGGGATGAAAGCAAAAGAAAACCCATACACAAAGAAAATAAAGAACTTGTGTGTTTGAGAGAATCTTGAAAACACTAATCAAGGATTAAAAGTCTAATGAATGAAATGAAAAGGCTAATGTGCTTACTCATGCATAACAAAGCATGAGGCACAACAAGAGAGGAACCAATGCCCACTGCAGATGGCTGAGAGTTGTTTTTTTCCCTGCAACAGAGAGCTTCCTGTGATTTTATTCTGGGCAGACATTTAAACCCTAAAAATTATCAAGTCATTGCATTAGTCAAAAAGGAAAAAGGCACAAAGGTAGATATATATGTACAGAATCAGCAGTTACATTAAAGGTTACAAAATATTCTCTATAGTTTGATATTCTAAGGTATAATTTTAATCCATATACATAGTCAACTTTGTAGTTTTTGAAAGAAGAACAGAATGGCTCACTTTTATTGGTCTACAAGCACTCAAACACATAGAGTTTACTTCTTTTTCTAAGATTCTTACCAATAAGTCATAGTGATTCATTTTTGTTGGAATGTCTTATTGTACTATGAAATTTATTGTACTATGGTCTTATTGTACTATGAAATTCAAGAAAAAAATCTGAATTAATTGATGACTAATTAATTTTTACAAAAACTTTTATTTTTTACTTTTTCCCTAATCTGGTGTAAAATCAATTTGGAATTCCTTCTAATTAAATGTATTCATCCAGCAAACCAGTTAAACAAAAGCAAAGGGACATGAATCAAGTATTAGAAATGAATGATCAATATTGCTTCCCCAAAGGGAGAATATCATTGAATTTACTTCTATTTGAAATATTTGCTTCTGCTAATCTGAGAGAAAACAAGAAATGAAGTGTGTAGTATAATTTTCTTTGGAAGTGTATAATTTTGCAGATTTGTCTTTTCCAGGGCAAAACAGAAGTAGGGCAGCAAAAGAAGAAGGGAGGGAGAGTAGAGGAGAGGGATGTGAAAAGAACACAAAAGTAGACTGGACTACAACTGAGTAAACTTCTAGAAATATAGAACACAAATAGCCACATATAAAACTTCATGCTAAGTCTCCCTCCAAGACATTCTGGCAGTGGCTCATTTAGTACAGAGGGAAGGGACCGCAGAATGGAACACTGGCAGCCCTTTTCCTTGTGGCTGAATGGGTTTCATCACAAACGGCGAGTTGACTACAGGACTGATAAGAAGAATGACAGCAGGTGCTCATTTGGATGAGAATTAGGACTGAATTCAGATGGGACCCTGAGCCTTTGGCATAACCCCAAGGGGCTTGAAAGAGTACTGTCAAATGCTCCAAACTTCTCCAAGCAGACAGATTTCAGAGATAGTTAGGATTCTCTAAAAATTGGCCAAAGAAAACAAAGCTAAAATAGCATGAAAATAATAAACTTTGCCCTTTTCATCTCTATGTGGTTCAGTTTTTAGGGAACAGAAATGGAGTCAGCATTAGTTCCACTTCCTTGAATGGTGAAACTCTGGATTCAACAGACTTTCCCACTCCAAGACTTGTGGTTTTAAACAAATTATTTATTCAATGATTGTCACAGCTTCCTTATTTTTTAAGAGGATGTTAAACACTCCCTTGAAGGACCTTAGGGAAGATTTAGCGAGATTGCCTTGCACAGCAAGTAGAACAGTGTTCTGTAGATCCAGAATGTTGACGCATGCAAGAGTTTACTAGAAGGAAGCAAAAGATGCTAAAATGTGGTTAAATTACATAATTTTGGAACATGTTATTATTGACCCTCATATTGGTTTTATGACTTCCTCAAACTATGAATAGCTTTTTAAGTTAATATTAAAAATTATATCTAAGAAGTAAATCCATTTGATTAAAGTAGAACAAACTTAAATCTTAATATGTTAAATAGTGAAAAAGCAAACATGAGAATTTTTCATGATAGAAATCAAATATATGACAATACAAACACATATATCAAAGAACATTAGTCATATTTGCCTCAAATATCCTGTTACTTTCTTTTCTGAAGATTGTTTTCTTTGTTTCCTATATTGGCTTTTAAAAAAACAAATTACCCAAAGTGTGTATTTGAATTTTAATTTTAAAGATACTATTTCCTTTTACAATTGAGAGAAAATTCTATAATTTGCTGAGACCACAGATTTTAAGACAAAGATATTATCAAGGTTAATGTTTTTACTGAATTTTAAAACACAGTTCTCCAAATATGGGCATAGATTATATGTATTTTACTCTATTAAATGGAGCTTTCTCTCATTTTTTTTTTTTTACAAAACTTGTCAAATAAGCTGTGTTTGATTATTGGGCTCTTGCACCAAATTAAATGCCTATCCAGTTTCATTCTGTTTCAGCATGGAATCTAAATTTAGACAATTACACCTAGGTAAAACTGAAAGCTACCCAAAAGCTCAACTGAAGAATTTGAAATTAAGCTTTGTGCATTATGTGTTTTCATACTTGAATAATTTATTCTTCTGTGTTATGGAGGTATAAATTCCAATGTCTACCCTTGAGCAAGTATTTTTTTTCCTTTCCGTAATAATTACAATTTGCTAAAAAGCCTTTGCAAGTTGAAGCTTTTGGAGCTCTATTGTGAAATAGTGTATGAAAAAAGATTTCCAGAGATTTTGAGTCATTTTTACATACAAAAATATCAATAATGTTATGCATGCAATTCAATAAATTTTGAAAAGGTATACAATAGCCACCACTTTTTCACATGCTTTTATTCATTCATATTTCTTCTTGTGTGGAACATCTATTTAGAGACCTTTTTCCATTCTATCTTTATTTAATGAATTGCCTGGATACAAGATCCAGTCTAAAACTTGCTGATATTTGGCCTTGAAAAGTTCTCTTGTGTTTCCAATACTGCCAATTTCCTATCTTAATACAAATGATACTAATAGTACCTTCTATGGGGCTGGTGCCTTGGCTACTTGGTTAATCCTCTGCCTGCAGCGCCAGCATCCCATATAGGTACCGGGGTTCTAGTCCCAGTTGCTCCTCTTCCAGTCCAGCTCTCTGCTGTGGCCCGGGAAGGCAGTGGAGGATGGCCCAAGTGCTTGGGCTGCTGCACCCGCATGGGAGACCGGGAAGAAGCACCTGGCTCCTGGCTTCGGATCGGAGCAGTGCTGGCCGTAGTGGCCATTTGGGGAGTGAACCAACGGAAAGAAGACCTTTCTCTCTGTCTCTCTCTCACTGTCTATAACTCTACCTGTCAAGTAATTAAAAAAAAAATAGTATCTTCTATGAAGATCTAATATTTTAATACCTGGAGGGTAGAATTGTGTCTGGAAGTGACAAACATTAACTATTAAATTTGTACAAATCTATTTGAGGTTTTGAGATTCACATTATTTTATATTTTATATTGTTTTACAATGATAAATTAAGTTTCACAATCCTCAAAATGAAGTTGTACTTTGATATTCAAAATTTTGTGAACTTCAGAAATTTATACTGTGTGTATATAATAAATTATATAACAGACTCAAGAGTCAGAGATAACACACTATTATTAAATTTCACATAAATATTTCTGTGCTGGTACTTATTAATATTGATTCAAGGAAGTATAAATGAACTTACACATCACCCATGTAGCTTCCTTTGAGAAATGAATTATCTTACGGTATTTTAATTTTCTCTAAATCTATGATTATTTCTACTTTTATTTCATCAGTTCAAATTTGCATTGCATTTTTTTAATTTTTGATGTT